GACACACTGTGTGAATTATATGTATCAGCTAACACCTGAGAGAACCTGGGTGGAATTTTTTTCGTGCCCCACAATGTATACATTGATAATTATTGAATATCTATATCGACTATATCCTATTTGAGGTAACCTTGAACTAGATGTTAATAATTTTCAGGAGCTGTACGAAAAAATCATACAACAGCAAATGCCACAAACTCAGAAATAGACAATGCCATCAAGAATTGGATAAAAAATGCTCCTGATAGAGCAGGAGGAAGGGCTAATCGAAGAAATAAAAATAAAGTGGCAGTTATTGAATAGATATAACTTCATGCTTCATGTTCGATCTTTTTGAGTATTATTATTATCAGGAATTTATGTTATTTTGTATTTTAATGTATACCCATTTTCGTATTCAGCAATGGCGAAACATTGTGTATTTACTCCCATATCAAAATTAATTTATAGATTCTAACGATGTAAACATGGATCCAGGGTTGGGACTTTGAAACGGATAGATATCGTTATCCCTATCGCTATGGCACTTGTTGTCTATGTCTCTATTCGTTACAGAGTCTCAGCCCCAGTGCTGATAAGCGCGAGCAGCCATAAATGTTCCTGGTATTTTCTATTGTCGCCTTTTTTGGTTTGGTCGGGAAGTCTCAAATAATGATATACATGTTTTCTCTTTACTTTGGTTTGATAATTATAAAACTATTTTTTATTTAGGCAATAGTTAATATTTGCATATTGATTTTTTTAGGTACATCATTGCAATCTATAAATTACTTAGAATATAATAGCATTGAGTTGAGTATAGTCATAATGAGCCTGTATTAAGAATATTTTTTTATTTTGTGATAATAAAATTGTTATAATAAAATATATACATATGCGCAGTTTGTTTTACTGACTAACCAATATCGTTTGCATAAAATTTACTAACAATGGCATAGGTTTTTTAGAAAAAAAGCAGCTTTGAGACATGAAAGTTGGTAAAAGGTGATAATACAGAGGGGCTGTCAAATAACGTCAATGGATCCTATTGTGGTGGCAAAGCAAAAATGAACAATTTTCAGTAGTATTAACTATTAACCCAAGAACATTGATAATTCTTTGAAAATTTTTTATAACAGATCTCGAGAGCTTGTTTCCTATAAGGTACAAGATTGAGAAATTTGTTATAACATTTTTGAGCATTTATTAATGTTCGAGGGTTATTATTCGGATAGAATTTTTTTTGACAGCAATGTCCGATGCAATGTCATAGAGTAAAAACAGCCTTGGGGGCAGTATAATATTAGGTTTGTTCGGACTTAGTTCAGAATTAGTTCAGAATCAGTTCTGAAGTGAACTGCGCTTGCGCATTTGTTCATATCGAACATATGGAAACAAATGCGCAAGCGCAGTTCAATTCGGAACTGATTCTGAACTAAGTCCGAACAAACCTATTGAAATGATTGGGTGATTTTGTGTCACATGACAAAAAATAACAAAGTTTAATTGGCTGTTAGAGCTATGAAAAATTTTCACCTTAATAATGTTTTTTCTACAGCCGTGCGGAGAAATTTTCCGCACTGATATCGGTGCGGATTTTTTTTTCCGCATGGCTGTCAAAAAAAATAATAATAATAAATTACTACAAATTATGTAGGTATGTATACTTATTTCCGCACGTTTGTAAAAAAACTATTGTACCTAACACTTGCGGAAAATGTTTTTCTGCACTCGGCTCCTTCACGGCAGACTCCTGTGGAAAAATTAATTTTCTGCACTTGTTAGGTGAAATAGCTATTTTCTACAGCCGTGCGGAAAAATCAATTTTTCCGCACGGCTGTCAAAAAAAATATTAAATAAATGGATACAAATTATGTAGGTATGCTTATTTCCGTATGTCTGTAGAAAAACTATTGTACCTAACACTTGCGGAAAATGTTTTTCCTGCACTCGGCTGCTTCACCGAACTCCGCTACGCGTCGTTCGGTGAACGGCAGACTCGTGCGGAAAAATTCATTTTCCGCACTTGTTAGGTAAATAGCTATTCTCGAACATTCGGCGCCCTTCCATCTACCCGCTAAGACCCGCGGCTGAGGAGAGGTTACCGTGTACGGGCCACCGGTCCTATGCCGAATTCGCGCCGATTCGGCGATACTACTAGTGGCCCGTCGGCGGTTATGCCTATCCTATACCGTCGCCGAAGGGCTGGCTCGCCGAATCTCAGCCACCCTTCGGCCAGGCGGACATGCCCTACCAGCATGCCGAGGCGGCAGCCGTTAAGCGGATCGCAAGTGGCCTTTCGGCATTCCGCATTCGTGCCGTTATCGGGCCAGTCGTTCTGTGTTTGTTGGGTTATTACACGGGCTGTCACTCGAGTTAGCCTGCTGATTGTTTTTGTATATGCTGTGCTTCAACTACATTTGTGGAACGATGTCTGCCAATATAACATAACATTTTCAGTGTCTGTCAGCGTCTAACCTCAACAAAACAATCATTGAATTTGATCTCTAATCGGTCTCTGAGGACAAATCCATAATTTAAGCGGTAGGTGACCTAACAAAACACTTTGAGCAGGTATCTTCTGTAGTTTACGAATGAGGAAAAAAAAATAACAGTAATGTTAGTCAGTCAGTTGAATAGTGGAACCGTGCTGGTCAGTCAGCCCCAATAAATGTAAAAATCTACAAGAAATAGTAATATTACTGAACAAATCTACTAATTTATACTTCAACCTACAATTTTGAATTGTCACTGTCACCCTGTCACTCTAAAAGAAAGTAGACCCAAAGCACAGCTTATACAAAAATAATCAGCAGGCTTAAAGGCCGAAACCCACTAGCAACACGCCACGCCATACTACGCCACGCCACGCCATGTGACACAGGTTCACGTGGGATAGTTTGTGTGCAAATGGGCGGATAGCGTGGCGTGGTATCGCGTGCGGCAAGTGTGTACGCGGCACATATAAATAAATGGAAGAATATACGCATACATTTTCGTCACATGGCGTGGCGTTGCGAAGCATGACGTGGCGTGTTGCTAGTGAGTTTCGGCCTTTAACTCTCACGCGCATATTTTCTGCGCATGCCGCAATTAGGGGATACCATTCTGTCATTAAACGGCAGGGACGCCGACATTTTAATTTATTTGTTTATTTCTGACGGAGATCATAGGCGTGCGGTGTAGAGCGGGATTTTAGTTATGATTTTCAAAGTGAATTTAGTATATTCGTGTTGTCATTTATGGTGTTATCAGTTATCATTCTTGTATGTTTAAAAATAATAATAAATTAGTAAGGATAAATATTATTATATGTAAGTAGGTAATATTAAATTTGTTTATTTAAAGCCAATACGACTCTGTGACCCGGAAGAAAAAAATCTAAATTATTGTTAATCAGGTCCTGTCACGTATCCCAAATTGGCCTCTAGTGACATCCCGGCCATGAATTCCTATATTAAACGGGCTGTCACTCGAGTAAAGGCCGAAACCCACTAGCAACACGCCACGCCATACTACGCCATGTGACACAGGTTCACGTGGGACAGTTTGTGTGTAAATGGACGGATGGCGTGGCGTGTCATGACGTGGTATCGCGTGTGGCAAGTGTGTACGCGGCACATATAAATAAATGGAAGAATATACGCATACATTTTCGTCACATGGCGTGGCGTGGCGAAGTATGACGTGGCGCGTTGCTAGTGAGTTTCGGCCTTTAGCCTGCTGATTGTTTTTGTATATGCTGTGCCCAAAGTATGTTTTTTTTTTAAAGATAAAAGTCAAAATGACATTATGTTTGCAATACAAGGTAAAATTGACAATGCTTTCAAATTTTTTATGTAGAAAAGGCTTGTGTTGCCAACATAGTTAGGTACTAAATTTTTGACTAGGGAATTATCTTTAAAAAAAAAACACAGACTTTAATATTTGTTTTACATAAATTGGGGCTGAACAACCTCAATGGGGCTGACTGACCAGCACAGTTCCGCTATTCAACTGACTGACTATCATCACTGTTGTTTTTGTGTGATATATGATATGTATTACGATTTTCAGCCTTAGTAAATTCGTTGCATTACCTAAAACCGAATTTTCGCGACAAACTACTCCCATGACTTCATGAACACAAACGCTTTCGCGAGAAACTCATGACGTCATATTGAACGTAGTTTAAGTAGGTACCTCAATGGGGCTGACTGACCAGCACAGTTCCGCTATTCAACTGACTAACTAACATTATTGTTATTTTTGTGTAATATATAATATGTATAACGATTTTCCGCCTTAGTTAATTCGTTGAATTACCTAAAACCGAATTTTCGCGACGACGTCATAACTTGAAAAAAAAGGGTTGTCTTAAGCCGGGCTCAAACGACTCGTGTACTTGTCGAATAATCGTTACTTGCGTATACTTGCCATGTCGTGTGAGTGGGTTACTTGTACAATTATTTGTCACTCGTTGGTTTTCCATTTCTTGTCGGTAAAAATGTCCCGAGTCAAAGGGATCACGATTATTCGTACACTTGCCAAGTTCATACTTGTCTATACTTGTAGAGGCGCTCAAACGAAATTTACAAATAATTGGCTTTTACTCCGACTATTTCATTTAGTTTTCGACGAGCATCAATGTTTAGCCAAATGTTCGCGCTCGTGTACTTGTAAATTAAACACGTCGTGTGAGCGCCCTGCTTGCCATCGCAATTCGCAAAGCTAGTATACTTGCCAAGTACGCGAATAATTGTGTATTCGCCAAGTACACGAGTCGTCTGAGCCCGGCTTTATAGATAAATTCATATGACACATTCAATTTTTTTGACAAATTAAAATGAATGACTTCTGGTTCAAGAACGGACGAACGTTTTTGACGTCGTGATTTGTTTCAGTCAATTTCTATTTCTTAAAAAACGAAGGCAAATTATGTCAAAAGTATGAAGCTTCATGAAACAAAGTGTATATTTATTTTTCCGCATAGCTTGCTTTCTTTTTTAAAGTCAGCCCTATTGAAAAATAAGTGAAAAGGATTAACAGTTACCGAATTATATTTTATTATTCATATAAAAAGGATGGGAATCACAAAAAAAATACAAATATAATTTAGGTAAAACGTAGAGCACGAATTGAAAGATGCGTCTCCAGATCTCCATCTGGCATCCCCGTTCATAGCGTTTTCAATGAAGTCCAAATATTTTGCGATGTCAGTATACACTCCTGGATTAGTGGGTTCACCACAACGAATTCCCCAGGAAACAATACCTACTTGAATAGAGCCACATAACAGTGGTCCACCAGAGTCTCCTTGGCATGCATCAACTCCTCGGGTTGAGAGAGTGCAAATTTGATTACGTGTCAATTTCATTCGATGATATGTTTTGAAAATCGTCGCACATGATTCAACAGATATCATTGGAATCAATGCACATTGTAAATCGTCCACTTCAGCAAGTTCGCTGTATTCTGTTGTTCCCCACCCAATTACCAAACCTTTCTTGCAAATTATGTCTTCATCATCATTAGTGGCTGTTGTCGGTGCAGTGGGAAGTTGTACATAGCTAATGTCGTCTTCTTCATATACACGTTTTTTCAATTCCAATAGAGCAATGTCATTTAAAAAAGTATCTTGGTCAAAATTAGGGTGTACAATATTCCTTTTAGCTGTAATAACTTTAGGTTTAGTATCCATAGATACAACTACCGCATACGTTCCTTCAGGATATCTGATGCAATGAGCAGCGGTCAAAATCCATTTGGGGTGTATAAGTGAGCATCCGCATAATCTGTTCCATCCAGTATCGGATTTTTCTAGAAGCAATGCCATAAAACCATATTTTTTTGTTGAGCAATGATATCCTCGGATTATACGTTGTGTTAAACCCTTTCTTTTTGGATTGTCGACATTTAGGTCCTTTTTTTTTGCTCCGCTGATAATCGTAATATTGGAAGTAACTGAGACTGGGCTGTTATCGGGTTTAGGAGCGCTTATATCATCTTGTGCCGAATTTAGTTTACAGAGAATAAGGATAATTATTACACTGGAACACAGACGTAAAGTGTGATTTGACATTTTTAAAGAAATTTGATATAGTATATTTGTCATTTTATTGTCATTAAATGTGTATGAAAGGTGGCCTTATTAAGATGAGATATACCCCTCGCTACCTTTGTTTAGTGAATGGAAAATGACAATGACCGTAAAATTTAAATGCATAGACCAGTGCAAATGATTTTATTTGTCACTCATTTGTAAAACGTCACTTATCAAGTCAAAACATAACCAGCGAAAATTGATTTTTACAAGCTACTGGCTCTACTGACTTGTAAAATTGACAGCTAAACTGTAAAAACTTTTTACAAGTCAGTAGAATTATTTATTTTTGAAAAATCGGTTTTATCACAAGAATAATTGCTTGTAGGTACCTTCTGGGAGACTTTTCTGGTGATAAACTGTTGGCTACGACTGCAGCTTCATTAATAATATCTTGTAATAAATTCATTTCTGGAAAAAAATTGCAAAATGGAAATCTGTCAAAAAACCTATTTATAACTAGAAACAACGTCTTAACAACGTATCATTCTCATAGTTATACCAACTACCAAAACTTCTGTGAGAAAAAATCAAGGAAAAGCATATAAATTTCAAATTTTTGTTATGTATTGATTTTTTATTTGTCCCTATATCTTTTACAAATGAGTAACAAATAAATTATTGTACATTATACGCCAGGTAGCAGTTTTTACTGGCACTTGAAGGTGACAAGCTCGCCTGGCGGCTCGCTAGTCATTTCCTTCAATCGCCAGTAAAAACTGTTTTACCTGGCTAATAATGTAAAATACTATTTTCTCCAAACGTCAGAAAAACGTCACTTTGTTAACTCCTGTCAAGATGTCAGAAATTTGATTTCTATGCTGCTAGGCAAATCCAGCGGGTTAACACCTGTCGAGGTGGTAGAAATTTAATTTCTATGCTGTTTGGCAACCCCAGCGGCAGCAAAAGTACTTTTAGTGCCGCTCGTACTTTTACTGCCGCTCAACCATTCACTTGCCCCCGAGCTTACCCCATTCGTTTGGAGAAAAAATAGCGTGTTGCATACGGAGTAGAAGCACTTTTTTGTGCTTCAGCAGTATTGCGAGCCGAACGTAGTGAGGCTCGCAAACCTATCGCTTCAGCACAAAAAAGTAAAGCTTCTACTCCTAATACAACAATATACTATTTTTGGAAAAAAAAAATTAATAACAGCATGAAAACTGTTGGGAAGGGAAGAAAACACGGGAAAATAAATTAAACTGAATTCGAGTTACGAGGATGACATGGGATGAACTTTAAGCGGTAGAAAATAGTTTTTCAAGATTTCCAGCGGAACTAAATATTCTATCGGAAAAAGCTAAATATAAAAGTTGTAGGTAATAAAAAGGTCTACAACTTTTGTATTGGGCATTGGACCGTAGACTGCAAGAGCTCAGATAGATCCAAGAACTGCGGCAGCACAGGTCACCAGGCTAAGCTATGCTCCCAGGAACCAGAATGCCTCAGCTGTAATGAAAAAGGGCACAGAATGGACAACGCAGGGTGTCCCAAGTTCCGAAACCTAATCGAACAACATAGGAGAAAGCTGGTGGAGACCTACAAGCTAAATGGACAGTAGTGTTTACATTTCCAGAAACCACAGGACCCTAATTCCCCATCCTCCTTAATTAAAATAATGCAGGTAAATCTCAATCGCTGCCACGCAGCCCACAATCTAGCAATCTAGCACAAGCAACCGCAAGGGAAATGAAAATCGACATTCTATCCATCTCGGAACCAAACCAAATGCAATTACACACGAGTTTTAAACAGTCCTGGATACCTTGGGAAGCTCCATAGACCTACTGAAGTCCAAGAGTGCAATCATCACGGGTGACTTTAATTCCTCTGGACTGGAGCATGCGTTTCACAAACGGTAGAGGTGATATACTCACCGACTTTATGGTCTCTAAAGACCTAGTCCTCCAGAATACGCGGGACAGGAACCAACCTTTCAGAGAGGGCAGTCTTCCTACATAGTGGACCTTACTCTGTCCAAAGGCCAGATCGATTCCAGACTATGAGTGACCATAACTACATAAGGACACTTCCTGGAACAAAAAGAAGTTAAATCTGGAGAGAGTGGAGGAATTCATGACTGGAGTAACAACAGATGTGCCCGACAGCCCCGAACAACTAGTCCAATTCCTGCACAGCTTGTGCAATGCATTCATGCCCCGAAAATCGAACAATACTAACAAAAGGCTTGTCTAATGGTGGTCGCAGGACGTCGCAAAATTAAGAGCTACCTGCCTCAAAGCCAAAAGGGAATTGACCCGGAAAAACCGCCAACAACCAGAGAGAAATGAGGAGTACAAAACCAAATACTCAAAAAAGAAAAAAAGAACTGAAACTGGCCATCATGGAAGCCAAGAGATCCAGCTGGAGAAAGCTGTGCGAGGAGATCAATGAGAGCTGCTGGGGAGGTGAGTATAAGATCGCCATGGAAAGACTTAAAATGAACACCACAAACAGTGCTTTAACTATGAAAAGAGCCAAGGAAGCCGCAAAGGAGCTCTTCTCAGCTAGACCAAAGGTTGTCACAAAGGTTGTCACAAACAAGGAGGTCACTGAGTCTAGTCTCAGGCTGAAGTCGCACAGAGCACCTGGTTTGGATGGGGTTCCTGTCAACGTCATTAGAGCAGCAGCCACGAGCCACCCAGGAATATTCCGTTACAGCTTCAACAACCTGATCAAGAAAGGAGAATACCCAGAAATCTGGAAAAAGGCCAAATTAATCCTCATTGAAAAACCAACGAAAGAGAACTAAGTGACACCTAGATACTGTAAGCAAGCTCTTGGAGCATATCATCCTCGCAAGGCTCTCCAAGGACTCCAGGACCATAGAAACAGGAAGGTGGGGATCATTGTTACACTTGATATCAGGAACGCTTTCCACTCGGCCCCATGGAGAGAGATTGTGGATGAAATCGAAAGGAGAGGTGCAGCCCCATACTTGACTAAACTCATCCAGAGTTACCTGACATCCAGAAAAATCATTATAAAGGCAGAGGGGAAAAGAGAACTTTCAGATGAGGTGTGGGGCTCCACAGGGCTCTATTCTTGGCCCCACTTTGTGGAACATCTTTTATGTCGGTCTTCTGAACATCAGCCTCCCTGCAGGGGTCAAGCAAGCGAGGTACGCTGACGACGTCGCTGTTACCGCTTTGGGCAAAGACCTGGAGGAGATTGGAAGAATAAAATATCTAGGGGTATGGATGGACTAAAAATTGATCGGACTCACCTACAGAAAACCGCGACACGAGCGAGTAGCGCGTTGATGGCCCTAGGGAGGCTGATGCCCGACATTGGTGGCCCAAGGGCAAGTAAGAGAAGATTGCTGTGCGCAGTGGGGAGATCTATCCTGCTGTACGCTGCTCCAGTGTGGGGATCCGCAATGTCGACGGATAACAATCGGGCCATTTATGAGAGGGTACAGAGACAGGCCGCAATCGGAATCACCAGCAGCTATCGTACTGTTCCAACAGACGCTTTGCTGGTGATCGTGGAATTGCCTCCTATAGACCTCCTGGTGGAGGAGGCGGTACAGGCCTCAAAGGCGAACCCGCAAGAGATAACAAACGCTCGCAAAGTGGCACGAGACATCATGAGAACTGAATGGCAGGATAGGTAGGAAGCTAGCAAAAAGGGCAGGTGGGCAGCCAGGTTGATCCCGGACATAAGGACATGGATTAACAGGGAGCACGGTGAAACAAACTACTATGTGACCCAGTTTCTGTCTGGTCATGGGTGCTACAGAGATTATACCCTCGAAATAGGTAAAACTCCCGACAATGAGTGCTCTTACTGTGGAGAGCGTGATACCGCGGAGCATACCTTCTTTTCATGCAGGCGATGGATGGAGCAAAGGGAAAAGTGTTTCAACTCTATCGGAACAATTCTCACTCCAGAGAATACCATAAGAGAAATGCTAAAGGGCCAAGCGAATTGGGAACAAGTCCGAATCATGGTAGAATCTATCCTAAAGATTAAAGGAGAGGATGAAAGCAGTATGCAGGAGGCCTTTTAGAGCTGCGAGCAGGTGCAAACTACACAATCTCCCTCCCCGAAGTAATGCGAGAGCGGTTCCAGGGAGGGCGGCAGAGCAGTAGGGGAAGGGTTTTAGTGGGTGCGAGTCCAACACTACCCAGGGCGCCCGAACACCAATGCCCTGGGTGTGCATAACGCATATCTACCTACTATATCACACAAAAAAAAATTGTATAAACCATTTTTTCACATAACCGTTGCTCCGAACTGCAGTGGAGAATGGATTAGCAAATACGCGTATTTTAGATTGTCAATGTTTACTGCGATTCAGCACATCGCCCAAAGTATAATATTCTGAATCGCAATAAATCTTGGCAATAATATAAACGCGGGTTACTCGTCGATCGATTATTAGCAAATGACAAAATGTGTCTTTTGTGGTATGACTCAAAAACATTACCTATAAAATCAACTAAGGCACCCATATTAAATGCCTTGCACCTTTGTAAAACGATGTCTTTGAATAATCGTATTGAAGATGCTGCAAAATTGTTTTTGTTGTTCCCTCTTGTCATCACATTTTTTCTAAAACACAAACACCATTCTTACTTTCGTAGCTATAATTTGCTTACGTGGCTTTTTAGGTTATATTTCTGAACGATATTGTTCTCCATAAATTCATTCGCTTCTTTAACTGTCAAAGCATACATGATATTTTGAAATGACCTCATTACATATCTTCGGTTTTCTTTTTAATGGTCTCAAATTTTCTGGCTTTTAAATAAAAGATTGACATTGATAAATAATTCACCCATGAAAAATATCAGATGCTTTTCAATAGCTGAAAAAATGGGGATGGGTGTCAACTTCCAAGAGAAAAAAAAAGAACCTTCTGCGTTTAGTTTTTGTCTGGCAATCGAGAGAATGAAAGGTTTTGGTGTAAAAATAACGCTGAAAAATCGCCAGACGGTAATCACAGTTTTCCGGCGAAACATTCTGTGGACATTTCGAACAGGAGGCAGGCATTAAAACCACTTATATTCTCATCAGCTAACTAGTCACATTCATCCCAAAAATGACTCCACTAAACATGCCCTATCTCAGGGTCTATAACGATATGGCAATAATTTTTGAGGCAGAAAACATAAAGGTAACGCACCTATTGGTTTGGTCGCAGGAACCACTGGATTCGACGAATACTTCTTCACTGGACACCCATTCTTTATGTGCACGTAAGATTATTGGAGTTAAGATGACAACAATAAGTGGAGTTTTCTAATCGCTATTTTAGCCATACGACTTTCCTTATATTAGACAGACGTCTTTTGTAAGACATTTAACATACTACTTAATTGGTCACGTCCTCCAAAATTAGTGGATCTAGGAAAAAAGTTAAGAATAACTTATTGTAATAGGAAAACATGACGTATCTATTGACGTGGCCAGAGGGCTAATTACCTAGGTGCGCCGACTTTATACAGGGTGATTCACGGTAGGTTAAATGTTTATGGAAAACTAGAAAAGGGACCGTTCTGAAAATTTGATCATTTATATAATTTACATAAAC